GAAAGGAAAGGAAAGGAAAGGAAAGGAAAGGAAAGGAAAGGAAAGGAAAACAGCACTTGGACTTACATACTGCTTCACAGTGCTTTCCAGCCCTCTCTAAGTGGTTTACAGGGAGGGAAGGAAGGAAGGAAGGAAGGAAGGAAGGGCAGGCAATAGCAATAGCCCTTAGACTTATATTTTACTTCGCAGTGCTTTCCAGCCCTCTCTAAGTGGTTTACAGAGTCAGCCTCTTGTCCCCAACAATCAGGGTCCTCATTTTACCTACCTTGGAAGGACGGAAGGCTGAGTCAACCTTGTGCTGCAATCTAACAGGGAGGGAGGGAGGGAGGGCGAAAGAGCAATAGCAGTAGCACTTAGACTTATATACCGCTTCACAGTGCTTTTACAGCCCTCTCTAAGCGGTTTATAGAGTCAGCCTCTTGCCCCCCAACAATCTGGGTCCTCATTTTACCCACTTCGCATGGTTGAAAGGCTGAGTCAATCTTGAACCGAACAGGATCGAACTCCTGGCAGTGGGCAGTCTGTATTCTAACTCATTTTACCCAGCTCAGAAGGATGGAAGGCTGAGTCCACCTTGAGCCGCTCAGGGTTGAACTGCTGAATGGCTGGCAGCATGACTCTTGTGGTATAGGATCTACTGCTTGACCAGGGGGTTGGACTACAGGACCTCCAAGGTCCTTTCCCACTCGGTGACTCTATTCTGTTAAAACGCATGTGAAAAGTACCCAAATTCACAGCTCTCCGAGGACGTGCAAGGGAGATTCTACAGGGGAAATTCTACTTATTGGGAAAAGTCACTTCTGGTGGTTCTCACATGCACAACCGTTGTAGCATCCTTGTGTCACCTGACCAGAATTTGGGCACTTGGCAACTGGCTCGTTTTTATGACGGTTGCAGAGTCCCGGGGTTCCCCGCGATCCCCTTTAGCGGCCTCCTGACAAGCGAAGTCAGTGGGGAAGCCAGATTCATTTCACCTTGTTACTAACTGAACAGTGGTTCACTTAACAACGGGCAAGAAAGGTCATAAAAGGGGGCAGAACTCACTTAACCAATGTCTCACTTAGCAACCGACGTGTGGGCTCAACTGTGGTCATATAATGCCTACATGAGGCAAAAATAGAGCAATGTCTGTATTTTTTTTCATAAGGTTAAATATTGGTGAACGATGTGCTTCACTCCGATGCAACGTGCATTCCAACCCTATTTGTAACGTTTCGTTGTCTCTTTTCTTTGTCCAGGAAACACTTCCAAGATGACGCGGGACCATTGCCCCTTCCCAGCTTTCGCGACCGCCATGTCTGCCGCATGCTGACTCACAACGGTGGAGTGGAAGCGGGCGCCAGGAATTGCTCCTCTCCCGAACGGCTTGCAAGCGTCTCTCCATGGGGAGCGCACTGTCTTTCTCTGTCCATTTGACCCTCACCACTGGCTGTCTCAGGAGCCCGCGATTGGCTGGCGAGCCTGAGAGGCGGCAGGGCCTTCCCTCCAACCAGAGACAAGGGCGGGATCCGGAATCCTGAGCGCACGCCGGCCAGTGGCGATGCAGTCGGACGATCTCTTCGTTCGCAAGATGCGACGCCACTCAAACCGTCCACCACTCACCTCCTTCTCGTTCGACAACTTCCGGGCCCCTAAGCCCCAGGCGTGCGAGGGCCCGCTCGTGGGCCACTGTGGCCCGCCGCTGAGGTCACCGCAGCGCAGCGGCCTAATGCATCGCAGCAACAGCGACGTGACCCTGAGCGAAGGGGAGCTGACGACTGCTGCAGGGGCTCCCGGCTCCCCGTTGCCGCTGTCCGTGGCATCCGTAACGGGGTTCCAGCAAAACAGCAGCAGCAGCCCCAGCATGCCCTCGAAGAGCATGGCGCCCCCTCGAGCCCGGGCACACAGCCACGAAGAGTCACGGGTGGGCAGCCCCACCGCCCGGCGTTTCCGCGATCCCCTGCTCCTGCTGGGACTGGCAGCCTCGGATGTCTGGGAATCGGATGGGAGCGGCGCCCCGTCAACGGAGACCAGTGTATCGCTTCCCGCACCGGAGGCAGCCACGCCGGTGTGGGGCCGCCACTTGGCTCACTATGACGTCCAGAGTATCCTCTTTGAGCCGGGCGAGGGGGTCCGGGAAGCCGCCAGGCAGGGCAACGTCACCACGGGTGCCTCGGCAGCTTCGCAGTGCCGTACAGCGGACGTGACGCCGATTCTTGAGGACGGGGCAGAAGAGGAGGAAGGAGGCATGCTGGTGCTCAGCTGTTCCGCCTTTCGGGTAGAAGCCGGAGGGGAGGTTGAACAAGGACTAGGCCAACACCGGGGGCTGCCCGTGGGCTTCCACTGTCCAAACATGGCCGTTTCAGTGCTGGAGGAACCCCGTGAAAGTTACGGACAGAGGAGCAGCCGAGTGATGCACGCCATCGAGTATGCCGATCTCGGAGCCTGTTACTACCGGAAGCATTTTTACGGCAAAGGTGAACGAGGGGCGGCAGGGAGAATGGGTTGGAGGAGCAGAGCAGAGGGAAAAATGTTCAATGAGCTGCCATTTTTTGTAAAATTTCTCGTAAAATTGAAACACAGGTAGTCCTCGACCTGCAGCCATTCATTTAGCGATCGTTCTAAGTTACAACGGTACTGAAAAAAAAGTGAGTTCACGGTCTGTTCAGCCACTTATGACCGTGGCCACGTGATCAGAATTTTAAGAGCGTGGCAACTGGCATGTACTTATGACTGTTGCAACATCCTGGAGTCTCACGATTCCGCCATTTTTCAGCTTCCCAGCCAGTTTCCAGCAAGCAAAGTCAAGCCGGCTTGACTTAAGGCCCGCACGATTCCCTTACCGACTGCAGTGTTCCGCTTAACAACTGTGGGAAAGGCGTAAAGTCAGGCGTGTCTCGCTGAACCCCTGGTTTGCTCAGCGACGGAAATACTGATGCCGATAACGGTCGTATGTTGAGGACAAACCAGACATTTTAAAAAGCCATATTTGAGTGGGGTAGAAATAATCTCTGGTTTAAAACTGAAGTTCAGGAGCTGTTTCCAGTTGGAATTAAGTTCTTCCCTTAGATTTAATCTTCGAATGCAAAGTAATTTGGGACATCAAAGCAGTCTGCCCTGACCAGATTAGCCATTCTTCCCAGGATGGAAGACTTTGATGTTTGTGTGGCTAAGAACTTCTGACTGTGTCCTTCCCTTGTTTTTAAAATAGAAGCTAGAACAATCTCTGTTTTGCCTGAGTTTGTTTCCCTTTCACATGACAAGTTCTCACAGAAGCTGCCGTGGCTCATTCTCTTCATCCTCTCTGCGTTAGAGTTAAATGAGCAATCTTTTTAAAAAATTTATTATTATTTATTGTATTTTATTTTTACAAACAAGTCCATCTTTCATTTAAACAATGTGTGCCATCTTGTTACAAATACCTTGTGCGATAATATTTCTAATTAATACAGATTCCATACCGTAACAATAATAATTTCATCCTTATTTCAAACTACTACACATGATATCTCTTATTGTTATAGCCACCCCCTTCTTAATTCCTCCTCTATATTCTTACATTTAATTTCTAACTTCCATTTTTATTTTCCAACCATTGATAAAATAGTTCCCATATCATATAACATTCAGTTTGTTCTTTTTCTTCAATTGCCAGCGTTAATCTGTTCATTTCTGCACGTTCTAATATTTTCCTGATCACATTTTCTTCTACTGGAATCTTTTCACCTTCCCAGTTTTGAGCAAATACTATTCTAGCTGCAGTTAATACATAAATAATTAAATATGCCTTTTCTTTGCTATAACTTTCAGGTATCATCCCCAACAAAAAATCAATTTCAGGTTTTAAGCCTCTAGGTTGCTTTATCATCTTTTCCAACCATGTATGTATTTTTGTCCAATATCTCTTAGCTTCTACACGTGTCCACCACAAACGAGCAACGTGTCCTTTTCTTTTTTCTTACCCCAAATTGGGGAATTTTTGGAGCAAATGAAGAGAGCGTAACCCTGGTGAAAGTTGGCGCGGCCTTTCTCGGGCCACGTTTTGGCCTTTCCTTGTTTAAGGAAATTTGCTCAACTACTGTATTTTCTCCTGCTTTTCCAAGGGAAAAGGTATTGAAAAAATAAGTGACTTACGGCTGTTTTCAGACTTACAACCGTTGTAGCATTCCCACGGTCAAAACTTCAGTTCCTTGGCAACTGACTCATATTTATGACGGTTGCAGTGTCCCAGGTCTTGTGATTCCCCTTTTGTTGACCTTCTGACAAGCAAAGCCAATGGGGAAGCCAGTCACCTAACAACGGTGTTACTCACTTAGCAACCGCAATGATTCACTTCCCAACTGGCAAAAGTCATAAAATGAGGCAAAACTCAACAAATGCGTCATTTAGCATCAGAAATTTTGGGTTCAGTTGTGGTCATAAGTCAAGGACTACCTGTAATTCAATGGCCCACTTGGTACAATAGGCTAAAAATAAGAACTTTGAATTCCCACAACATGCTGGACTGAGATTGAATTTAGTGACATAGATGCCTTTCAATAAACCTTTTTTTTTTTAACTTGTCTTTTCCACTCGTGTTTCTTGACCTTGGCCACTTAAAAGATGCATGGACTTCAATTCCCAGAATTCCCCAGCTAGCCATGAATAGAGGGGAAAAGAAGAAGGGAAGGGAAGGGAAGGGAAGGAAGGAAGGAAGGAAAAAAGGAAAACTATTCATTTATTTTAGAGCAGTGTTTCTAAAACTCGAAACTTGAAGACGTGGGGACTTCAACTCCCAGAATCCATGCTGGCTGGGGAATTCTGGGAGTTGAAGTCCACACTTCTTAAAGTGGCCAAGGTTGAGAAACACAACTGGAGAAGAAAGGTAAAAACAAACAAAAAAAGTTTATTGAAAGGCATCCGTCAGTGTCAGTAAAAGACCAAACAATTGCAGTTCACCATCTAGGCAACATACATTTCATCCTTGTGTTATCTTTCCTTTTAGATTTTTCGTGCTGTGCGTTATCTCCACTTCCTGTGGTGCAGGGCCCTACTATAACAATTACCATTTCCTTTTTGTAAAAAAAAAAAAAAAAATCCTGTGTTTCCTCTTTTCAAATATTTTTGGTTTAGGAAAGGAGAAACCTTGGCACTAAAATGCAGCTGCCTGTTCCAAGGGTGTGTGCTCTCGCCTTCCTTCTCTGTGTGCCTTAAATAAACACATGGGTCCTTCCGCTGTCTTCCCCAGAACATCAAAATTTCTTCGGGGTGGACGATCAGCTGGGCGCTGTCGCCATCTCTCTCCGTCGCGAAGAGAAGGAAGGAAGCGCCGGCCCGCAGTACAACTACCGTCTGATCATTCGCACGAGCCAGGTGGGCATCGCTCTCGTGCACCAAGGGAGGGCGAAGGTGTGAATTATGGGTTGTGGGAAGGAGGTGGGAGATGCCCAGAGTCTCTCCTGCAAAAGAGCAGCTGCCTTGCAAATGGTTAAGGTAGCCTTTGCCTTAACGACGGTTCGTTTAGTGACCGAAGTTGCAACACCGCTGAAAAAAAAATAGCAGACTTCTATACCGCTTCAGAGTGCATCTGTTCCTCGCATCGATATTTTTCGACCTCGGATGCTTTGAGATGGGTGAACTTCAACTCCCAGAATTTCCCAGCTGGCTTCGAACAAAGGAAAATAGCAATAGCAATTGCACTTAGATTTTTGTATACCGCTTGCATGCTGCATCTATTCCTTACATCAGGGGTAGGGAAACTTGGCTCTTCTATCACTTATGGACTTCAACTCCCAGAATTCCTGAGTGAGCCATAAAAGGTTCCCCATCCCTGATCTAG